TTGAAGAATAATTTATGTTCAAGTTGTCATTATCTAAAGGCATAAATGTACTTTTTGCATAATAGTACTCTGTTAGTTGACTAGGTAATATTTCTAATGCCTGAAGTGTTAATGATTCTTTGAAGAGATTATTTTTGCTGGAGGTTTTCTGTTACTGGCTGTGTAGTTGCTGGACCTGGAGGTTGTAGTTGCATTTTCCTAGATGCATGCCCATTCAACAACAAGCACTGTCATGCTCGGAGAATTTGCATTCTTATCCCTGAGCTTGGCTCCATTGCTGCTAGAGGGAAAGATTCAAGAAACAGTCTACTGTTAATTTATACTTTTTCTGGGCTTTGCTGTGAATGATCGTGTTAATGATAATTACTTCTGTGAACTTCATAAGAAAATGCTGGGAGATTATCAGAAGTAGTTCTGTTTAGGCAGATTTCCTTAATTATGCTAGTGACCTTTTTTATGTATTGGTCAATAAATGTGAATTCTGTAAGATAAAATAAAAGCTTTAATTTTGGACTGAATATTTTAATTGGTTATCAAGAGAAAAAGCATAGCTTTTTCGTCACAACTGACGTGTCCCAAACCATCCAAATAAAACACAATATTGTTCCTTGGCAATGAGAGCAGTGGATATATATGATTTGGGCTGGTCACTTTCATAAGCTCTTGTTTAATATTTATATAGAATCTCTATACCTACATGGGCTTCTCTTTAGTGTCTGGTTTAAGTACCTGAAATACATTATTAAATTCTAGGTACAGAGAAAGAGAAAAAAGCCTAGCACTCACTTTGTCACTGGGGAAGGGGTTTTCTTTTAAGTGTAATAAATTTAAATTTCTCTCTGGCATGATACTGATCTTCATTATATTTCAAAGGCAAGTACAGAAAACAAGTGGGACAGCAATATAAAGCTGTCTTGTGAAACATAACTTTTTTTAACTGGCAGATGGAGACCTGCCTTTGAATGCTGGATGTTCTATTTTTCTGCTTTTTAGAAAAAAATTTCAGAAACTGGCATAATAACATTAGGGCAAAATTTTTGGTACTGACTTGACTGAAGCTTTAGAGATCACTAGTGCAGAGCTGTATTTTTTTTAATTTTAAACTTGTCTTAAGTAACCTTTGTAATTAACTTAAATGTCGTCAAGATATCAGCCTGCACATAGGTTGCAGCTTCATTTACTGTTTCAGTGTAGTTCAGGACAAGGTATTACAGCTCTTTATAACAAAATAACCATGTGGTTTTGTAACAGTCCAGTGTAGTTCCATATTATTGGCCAGCTGTATTGTCAATAATGTAAATGGAGAATAAGATTAGTGATCTTTTCTAACACAGGCCAGTGTGAGTAATTATGTTTACAAGACAGTCACCAGAACTGTCCTATTCCTTAGTTTCTGTCTATAATTTCTTCCATAACCTGGATGGATTACAGCCAGTTTCACACCAGCCACTGCATGTTTTCTTCCCAGGATATTTTTGCACCTTTTTTAAAGTGCGATTTGAGGCTTGTGCAATATTGTCTCCTTTCCCAAGCCCTGCAGGAGATGCCTGCAAAAGGTCCACCGCCTTACTCTGTACTGTGCATTTCACAGATGTTTTTCTTCAAAGGAAAAACACTGAGGCCAATGATTAGTTGGAAAAAATCACTAATCTCTTTGTATTGGGCAGTGTAGTTCCAATAAATCCATGCAAGAAGTTGAGACCTAAGGTGACGGTTTCTTGATATTTAAAAAATCTGCTGGTGTGGGAGAGAGAGATCTGAGAGACTGTCAGAATGCAAGTGGGACAGCCTGGTGGGGGACAGTGATTCCTTCCTTTGACTGTCTGTGGCCCTCTCATTGCAGAAGTGGCTCTGCTACATGCAGAGCGATTGCTGAACTGGCTCACATTGCAGCCCAGATCATTATAGTACACTGGCATGAATAAAATGCTATTGCAGTGGATCACTGGTGGTTCAGGAACAGCTGGCATGGACTGGAACTTCTCTAGTAGTGAATGGTCAGGAATCAGAGCTCTTCACCTCCCGAGTCACTCTGAGAAGTATATAGATTTGTCTTGGGTGCGTACATTGTAAGGTTTCTTTTCCTTGCTTCATTTGTATAGTAAGTCACAGGTGACAGACCAAAGCTGGTGTCCTGGTGGCAAAAGCTATGCCTAACTTGTCAAATTATATGTACAGCTTAATTGTATGATGTTCAAGAGACTCTCAGTGGGTGTGTAAAGCAGTGGTAGTTAGCAACCGGTTTTTACGTTAAGGTATCGCTAAGGCTGTGGTGTGCTGCTTCTATTCCCACTTAACTTTGAAAGAATCTAATTATATTCCTGCAGGAACTTTTTGAAGCATGCGTGGATTTTAATTAAAATTTTACTTTCCCTGAATACTTACTTACTCTGTTAACCGAATGTCTCTTTTAAATCGAACTGGAACAGATTGCATGGTTTATTTCAACTGACAGCACTTAATCTAGATTAATTTGTACTGTTTAGCATTTCACTGATGGAAAATAAAAGGTAACATTGTAGGCATATCAGAGTTTGGCTACGTGAAAATCAAAGAACTAACGTTTCCCAAGTATGCGCAAGTACTGTATTACTGAAAGGTCATTGTTTGTTCAGGCTTTAAAGTATGACATCATACATGATGCATGACCTTTGGAGAAAACACAAAAATTTCGTGGAAAGAATGGGTATTTTAAAACTTGCATTACTTGTGTATTTCATGTAGGTATAGTTGTACACATTGGCACACATGTGCCAGTTAGGTCTTAAGAGCTAGCAATGCTCTTTGCTTTTCTTACATGTAAGCCTTGCCTGGTTGTATATCCGTCTCTGTTACTGTTACTTTCTCATGTTATAGCTTGAGACTCTCCAATAAAGTTATCTGAAAAGGAACTTGTAAGAGGGATGTGCTCAGATTTGTCTCTGAATTCAGTTTTACTGATCGATAGTCTGGCTTGGATTTCACATCTAAATCTCCTCCTACACAACTTTCCTCTCTTACCATTTCAGAAAGCTGATCTGTCCTGAAGTGTAAACTTCGTGATTTATTGTTTTACGTGGTAAATAAAAGCGTATCTTACTTTGGGCAAAAAAGATGGAAGAGAGAATCCCATCATTAAGCCACAACCTAAATTGATGTTCTGGCTAAATTCCTTTGCCTGCCAGTTTTTTTGTTTGAAATTTAATTTTAAGGAATTAAAGAATTTAAGATTTGGATAAATAAGGTTTGGCTATCACAGAATGGTTGAGGTTGGAAGGGACTTCTGGAGGAACCTGTTGTTCAACCCCCCTGCTTAAATGCAGATCAGGTTGCCTGGGACCGTGTCCGGATGGGTAAAGAATGTAAATAATATACAGGTATAAGAATATTAACAATTAATCCACATGTTCTCAAGTCTTTTTAAAAATACTTTTGTAACAAAAAAAAAAAAATGCTTATATGTCTTAAGAAGGTATTTCCAAGGTTGAAATTTTGCAGGTAATGTAGAACAGGATTTAATTTAAATGGATAACACTTTCTAAAGCTATAAATATGCATGATGATTTATGGTGTTACAGTGTACCTTAGAAGTCTAGATAAATTTATTATGGAATATACTTTTCTTAAGATAATTATTCTACGTATTTATTGTTAACATCAGCTTGTCCTGAGTTCTTGGTAGCATGGGTGTGTATGTATGTGTGAGTCTATTGGGATTATACTTTATTATCTCATCCACACACACAAATCTGTCAGTGTAATTTGTGAATTCACATGTGTATGTATATATAGAAGTTAAAAAAATAAGAGGTCTCATCTTTGCTGGTTTGCTAGTAACAAAATGAACACCTTATAAAAGGAAAAAAGTCAGTGGCTCTTACTTGATTTTCAAGGTTTGGGCCGGACTGGCCACTGAGGTGAACGACAGATGCTCTACCCCACCTCTCTCTCCCAGGAGAGGGAGAAGAGAGAGAAAGAGACTTATGAGTTGAGAAGCAACTACTTTGATGAAATATTAATAACAAAATTGAAAGAATTAAATATATACAAAACTGTATCAAGATCCCAGGATGATGGTCACATCACTGGCTGGCACTGGGGCAGTCCCAGGCTGGACTCAGGGAGGGACAGGAACTGGATTCCGGATCTGGATTGAGGATCAGGATCAAAGGCAGATGAACAGACAGGGTCCTCCTCAGATGCTGGCCATTGAAGAAAGAGGGCTGACCCTTTGATCCCTCAGCTTTTATCCTGAGCATGAGGCAGATGGGATGGAATACCCTGTTGGTCAGTTTTGGGTCACCTGTCCTGTCCGCTCCTCCCCGCAGTGGCAACCACTCTACGCTTTTCCGCTTCCGACCCTCCAACGGAGCAAATAACAAAGTTGGTTGGCCTTGGGTGTTATAGCAATAAGTATAAGCAAGAGCCTCTCTGCATACCACGCCTGGGCGTCAGCTATAAACATAGGTCTTATCACTCTGAGAGAGAACGTTTTCTGCACAATATGCTGTTAATTTCAGTAGTTAGAAGAGGCCCAGCTAAAAAGTAAAATTACTGAACAGAAAATTGCTTCTGTTTTATCTCTTGATATAAAGAATTTGTGCTTAGGTACATACAGGTAACACATTGCTTTTGAAGGTGGCATAGATACAGAAGATACCAAAGACACGTGGTCCCATGCTAACTTGTGTGCATGTTCAACTTTTTTTTTCCTTCCTAACTTTTTCACTCAGTAGTTTTTCATGGTTCTTCCTTCTGGAAGCAAGTGTGAGCTGTCAAGCATAGCTTCTCTGGCTCAGTGTGAGAAGCATGACATAGAAGGAAGAATGTGAAATTAATGTCTGCTTGTGTTACTATTTTGTGATACTTACTGCTTATAATACCAAATTTACTCTGCAATGTTAACACATTTAATAATTTTTATGAAACAAATGTCACTGTTATGTTATTACAAACTTTTTGCATGAAACAACATTGTATCGTTAGGACATCCGTTAAATTAAACTTTTGCTTTTATTTAGGTTTATGAGTTAGATGGCATCCCCTTGATCCTGGACAACTGCAGCATTGATGACAACAATCCTTGTATCCTTTACAAAAGAATGCTAATTATTGAATATGACTCGTAAGAAAAAGGTGTGGCAATTTAATATATTTATGCCAGCATTGCTTTCACTTGGTACCCAAGTTTAACTGACTTACATTGTATTTAAATGCTTGGTTCAGAAGTGAGCAAACTCATAAATATGTTTTCATGAACTGAAGTCTAAGTAAGTTGAACTGTGGTGTCGTGGTTATATTCTGTTTCCTAAAATAATAAATATTACTGGTTTACAAATGTCAATTCAGAGAGCTAACTGTGACAGAAATCTGATTTAAGACTATGTTTGGTCATCGTATCAGATCTTGGAGCTTTTGCTTCAACCGAAATCTATTCAGTAGACTGAAATAAGTACTCCATCAATTCTTTATGCTTATTAAATCTGAGTGGAGAACTTACTCTAAGCACAGAGACAAGGCTAGCAAGCTGTAGTGAAATGTGTATAATTGAGAGAATTAATGATACAGATTAATGAAATGTTGGGGAAATTTTAATATAAATAGCATTGTGCTTCATATTTGGGATTTTTTTTCCTGGGGTTTAAGAGCAGATTCTTTCCAAGATAGATTGCTATTAGAGGGAAATAACTTTACATTGAAGATAAACAGTCGTTAAGCTGGCTTATCCATCTCTTCCACGAACTGCATAGTAATATGTAGCTATTATTTTCTGTCATCTAATCATTATCTTCTTGTAAGTTTCTGATAAGTGTACCTGGAAATCAAATGCCTTTCCTGTTAGAGTAATGACAGCTTTCTTATACTGAACACATGAAACGTGGTTTTTTTTAAATTAATTTGTCAGAAAAAGCTTGCTTTTTAACAAGTATCATAAAAGCAAAAAAAAAAAAAAGTTGTGAAAATGTTGCCTATTCTCATAATTGTATGCTGTAGAACATCATCTACATATAAATATATCTTAAAAGGATGAAATTATGTGGGGACAGATGATAGCAAAATGTTAACAAGCTGGGTGGAGGAGCAATGGGTGTTAAGTATCCTCTGAGTTTCTCACTTTGTTGCTTTATATGCAAGGTTTTTACATTCATCACTATTCTTATAGTTGGAGACCTGACAGTATGTCTCTTGACAGTGTACTGAGTAGCAGAGTTGTACTTCCACAGTCCGATTCTGGTAAGGGGCACTGCTGGATGCAGTGAGAAGGGCAGGGAAAGTTCCCTTTCCCAAAGCAGAAGAGCAGCCCTGAGGAAACCTAGTAAGGAGTTTTGATCCCAAGTTACTCTTCTTTTGCTAGAAGGCAGAGCTGCGCAAACGGCTTTTAGAATTTATTTCTAGGATTGATCCTTCATATTAGCTGTTAGTAAAAGAGGATAAAGTTTGAGGCCTTCAAAGGGTAGAGTTGTAATTTACGATCTTGAATGAAATGAAAATAAAATACCATGGGAGCCTTTACTGCATTTGGAGCAATGTGAAACTTCTTACACCTTTTGATACAGGCTGACATTTTATGACTGTACTATAAACTGCTTACCAGAGGATAAAATTTTGCTTACTTGGTTTTTAGAGACTTACTAGACATAATTACACCTCCTAGTATGAGCATTCACCACTGAGCCATAGTGTACAGTATTCAGCTATATGAAAAAGTAAGTAGCACTTGGGCAGAGGAAGGACTAGCCTGCTGTGAGTTTGCTGCGTCCGCTTTTGGAGCACAGCTGCTGGCTGCTACTCTGTTGTTTTGATCTAGAGCTATTCCAGGTGCTCTTGTGCTACATGAAGTTAATGCTCCCCTGGTTCGCTCCTGCTTCTAGCGTTCCTCATCTGCTTCATTCCCAGCATGTCTTATGCAGGGAAGCAGAAGAGTTTGCAGTTTGGGTTTGTCTTTACTTTCTCCTGCTTTGCAACACAGTCTGCTACTTCTAGACGCTACAAACCAAGTCTTTAGTAGCATGTAGGTGCCTGACTCTGTTGCATAACATTCCTCTGAAGAGATTCGACTGTTTCTCTCCTCCCTCTGTGCCCTCAGTCCTGTCTGGCACAAATCCATTTTGTGGTGCTTGTAAACCAGAGCAGTGCTCTTCCTAAGATTTGAATGTCTACTTGCTTAAAACTGAAACATCTTAAAGTGGCTCACATTGTAACTTTATGATCCAGAGGGATATATTTCATCTCTTTTCAAGGAAGGTTAATTAAAAGGAAGTATTTAGGCAGCTCTTGAGCTGGGTATTGAGAGTTGCTGAAATTCAAATATGATCACTCAGTGGTGCTGCAGTCTGCCAAGCTGTGAGGGAAAGCTCGGTGTAGCTCTTCAGCCAGGGTTGCTTCAGGGAGTCATGTCCAGAAACTTCTCTCTACGTTCTTGTTTCTAGTGCCTGTTTTTGTGGTTTCAGACTGTGTTACTCGTATTTCTCCTTGGATAAAGCTGACTGGAAAAAGTTTCATCCAGATTCTTTTTATATAAGAACATATTAGATTTCTTAGTAAAGTCTTTGTAGATGCACATTTTTCTCTGAGCTTTATCTGTTTCAGAGACACCCAAGGTCTACAGTTCAGAAGTCACTATGTTTTCTACTGAAAACAGATATGATATACTGATTTTCTATATTTTAGTAACTAAGTCCTGCCTTCAAGTTACACATACAAAATTTTCCGAAGAAAAAGTAACTTTCGTGGTAAAAGTGATGGGATTTTTTTTTTTCTGGATGGAAAAAAAAATAATTTCCCTAAAGTATGCAGTTCATCAGGAGAAGCTGGACTGCCATGTTAGATGTTAAAAGAGCTCTGTATTACCTTTGAAAGGAGAAATCCTTTGATAATCCTTTTTATTTGTAGCGTATGGAAGCGTACTGGAAGAGGAAATGGGTCTGCTCTTATCCTAAAATAAATTCCTTTGTAAACCTGTCATTACCTTGAAATTGCATCCTTTGAGGTCCTGTTCAGGTTTTGTAATGTGCATAGAAATATCAGGAGGTTCATCGCTTTTGAGATGGCTAGCTGAAGTTCAACTGACATGCTCGCATTGCTTTAGCTTCTTAGGTCTGAATTCATCTTTCAGTACCCAGTTTCGGAGAACTGTTATCTTGTCTAATTACATCTCAAGCAGACTTGTATCTTTTACATTTATACTAACAAATAGTACTTTTTCCTTCTGGATATTTCACAAGTAAAAGCAACACCAACCACCTCACCCCACCCCTTGTTAGTAACAGACACAAAAATGATTATGGACAGTTAAGAACAAATTTTCTATACCTCTTGCAAAGATTAATAGAATTGATATTTTAATTTTTCAGCTACTATAACTTTGCATGATTACAAGTAAATTCAGTGGAGAAATCTGAGAGATGCCAAATTTTCAACTCTTAGCTATCAGTCTTTTAGCACAGGGGAAAAGGTAGCATGAGACTGCGGAGGTGCAGTTCATTACAGACCTTAGGGTCTGAAGAATTAAAGTTCAGAGGAGGCTGAATGTCACTTTAACTTTTCCTATACCCTTTAAATCTTCAATCTTGGATTGGCTGTCCTTCCGTAGTCAAAAGAAAAAAGTGTGTTTCAAAATGCAAGTGGACTTGTGGCCTTAGGATTAAGGAGAGGTTCTTTCATGCGATAAATTTCTAGTTTTGAAAAATCAGTTTCTTGTTCTGCTTCTGAAAAGTTGGAAGTGTTGTGCTTTACTTAGGTAACCTGTGTTTAAAAACAAATAAACTATCCTACCACAGAATAGCAGAGGGGATTGGAGATGCCTGTCTGCGTAATACCAGTAAAAAATTTACTCCAGATCCTGCTTTTCAGGTTATTTGGGTTGAAAAGGTGTTCTAAATGAAAATCTCTTCTATTTTGCTATCTGAGCCACCATCTTCCTCATCTCTGACAGGCTCTAGCATCAGACAAGAACCCTTCTTTTTGTTCTTGTCTTTTACCTCATGCTGGTCTCCTGCTGCTCCTTCCAGCTTCATTTCTGACCTTTCACAGATTCTGCTCACTTAAGGCAAACATAAGGAGGGATGCCAGCCCATTCCGATCAAAAGACTATTGACCCTAATCATACAAAAAAGGTGCTTACAGAAGACTTTAAATAAACTAACCTGTTTATTATTGAAGACTTTTCAGTTTACCTTAGCTGAGATGTTTGGGTTTTTGCTCCTCCCTAACATTTAGGCTCATGAGTAACACACAAAGATGTGCCTGCTCTGTTTTGGGGAGGTTTTGTGTTGGATTTTTTTTTTTTTTTAATTTAAATTTAGGAAAAAACATATTATCCAAAGTACTACAGTGTAATAGCTGTTAGTTAAACTGATAAAACTTGAAAATCAGAAATTAAATGGAGTTTTGAAGATAGAATATTCTTGTTTTTTCAGCTTGCCAGTCTTACTCTTTTGAGATTCTTATAGTAGGTGTCTTGATAAATTGATTTTGTGAATGTCTGAATTTAAATGGAATGACCTTATATAAGTGTCCATATTATATTAACACCTAATCAGGCATGTTTTGCTGTTAGCGGAAAGTGTAGTCATACTTGAAGAAAAAATATCCTACTGTGTAGTGTGTGTGTGTGTGTATGTACACACACACACATATATGTTTATATATATATGAGTAAACACCCAGCTGGTTATGTTTTAGGAGTAAAAATTTGCAGCAGTTGTGAAAGGAAAACCTGTGGTTGCTGTTGATAGGCCCCTTAGTTTGAATAATGGATGAAAATGTAGAAAATACAAGTTAATTTTCAGATACTCCTTCCCTAAGCTTCTTCTATTATATTCAGTTTGAAAGTCATCTGAGAGGTAGATTGAAAATACTTTTGACTTCATGGCAGCAGCAAGTATAATTGTGGTTCATGAAACCTCTGGCTAAAGCTAGAAGAAATCGAGTTGCTATGGTCTACAACAATGGCAGTTTGTTTTTGTGAGATGCCAGCAAAGACTTTTGGGGGAGCTGACAGACATTTTATTTCTAAGTTACAGACTGCAACCTAAAATAGGCCACATACTGTAAAAAAGCCTCACAGCTGAACAGAAGCCAGT